CCCACAATGAAATGAGTACGTCTCACGTTTCCATTGTATCCCATAGAGCAGTGATTCCCAAACTGTGCGCCACGGCGCTCCTGGGAGCAGCGGCCTCTTTGCAGAGGCGCCGCGAAATATTGTAAAAGCTCAATTTGAGAAAATGTGCAGTGATTTGCAGGCTCATCCATCACATTAATTATTGAATATTAATTTAATGTTAATAAAATAAAAATTAAGATACATGAGTTTTATTTATTTTTATCTCTTACTTACGAATAAACATACTCAGGGTAGGGCGCCATGGAATAGTTTTAATTGAAAAAGGGCGCCGCGACTAGGAAAAGTTTGGGAACCACTGCCATAGAGCATTTTTTCCCAAAAGGTATTCTTATTCAGGCTTAATCCATACGTCTAACAGGAATGGAACCTAATTTGTTGCAATGCAGCATATAGTCTAAACACATTACGCCAGACTGCTACGAGTATCCTTGGGCCACAGGACAGACGTGAATTTCAAGGAAAGCCATATCACATATGTAGTAAGATTGTGGATGAAGAAAACGTGTATTTTGTGTCATGAATCCCCATTTCGAAGGAATACTTTGTTGGGAGGAATTCGTGATATGGTATCACCGGAAACCGAAGGAGGATTGCCGCTTATGGAAGACTGTTGAATTGTGCGAATAAGTCCTCGGCTCACCGTCTTCTTCGCACAATTCAACAGTCTTCCATAAGCGGCAATCCTCCTTCGGTTTCCGGTGAGACCACATCAATAATTCCTTCCAACCAACTTCCCCTTCGAAATGGAGAGTCATGCCACAATATTTAATTAAGGAATTCTGCGAAACCCAGTTTTTTTTCAAAGCTTCGAAAAATGTGTATTTTTCCACTACTTAGGCTCATATAAAGTAGGTTTCGAAAATACTAATAAATCTTAGAGCATAGTTAAATGTGAGAAGAACTCAGAACTCTCTTCATCAGGCACTTTCATATGAAATGAAGGCAATTACAACAATTCAAGTTAGGAAGGAAGTAGTAGGAAGCATTAGGAAGTAGTGCAAATAGATTAATATTATATAAATAGTCGCTTTCGATAATTAAGGTTCTCTTTTCCGAGGCCAGTATTTGTTATTAAATGGTCTGAACTCGTTTTAGAAATTGACTCCTGTTATGAGGATGATCTCGATCAACGAACTTTGTCCAAAGTTCGCTGTAATAGTATTCACGATAATGTTCAGCATCAGTACATGGCTGTTGACTTGGTACATTCTCAGTCGTTTCGCCGGCATCGTATATAGCAGCATCAGTGAGCTTTACAAGTCGTCGCATCGAATTACGACCCTTCAAAGAAACAAGTTAAGAGAAGAATAAGATATGTAGTTCAATTGTTCCTCTAAAAAGTTTTAGGACGGCGCCAAGACTGGTAAGGTTCACAAATGATGCCGAATACGATACAGGCGAAATGTAATGGAATGTATTAAGTCAACGATTTGGCGCTGAAATTTATCATATCTACTTAGAGGACTGTATACAAAATGCCATAATAGAGGCAAAATCATCTTGGCCTTCATATCTACGCTTATTTGGTCTGTATCACCAAAGCATACACATTCCATGGAAAGATAACGTGTACGGTTGTGAAATAGGTTTTAGGCATTATAAGCCAATAGACTCTAAGATACTTTCATAAATGTATGAGGATGATGAATGACTGGTAGTTGAATCTTGCCACAATGATATGAGTATACATGGCGCAATCATTCAATTTCACATGGACTTGCTTTCCCAAGAGGTATTCTCCTCCAGGCGGACTGTAATTTCGACCCAGCCCGGGTCTTGTCAACACCCCCAGCGGGACTCGAACTATGCCATTGCAGCGTATAATCTCGATACGTTAAGCACTACCACACACTGCCACGAGTGCCCTAGCGTTACAGGGTAAATGTGAATTTCAAGGAAGACCCGAAACTTTCCTATATCACATTCTGTGTTGGGATTGTCGATGAAGCAAACTTATATTTGCTATAGCAATCAACGACATTGCCTACTTTTCGTTTCGAGTAGATTTTCGAGACTACCAGTAAATTAAAAACCTACTCAAGACTTTCACAAATAGCTGTGTTTTGAGGGTAACCATTGCTTGGGAATTTGGTAGACGATAGCAAGGGGCAAAGCGATTACCGAATGTACATCGAACGGCTTCGAGACGACTGGTCTTGGCTCCTCAAGGGTGATTCTGGCAGATGAACTGACCACGTCTGAACCACCACCGTTCCCGCCACACTCTTCCACGGTTGTCCATGCGGAGGTTAATAGCATTAAACTGGAGGTGAGTGAAGCGACGGACCTAGACCGTCGGGATTGAGCGTCCAGCAAGTCCACATTACCACAAGGCGACAGACTAGCGTGTTTCTCTTTATCCGGGCAGATGGGTAAATCCACACTGTCTCTATGGGCGGCTAGATCTGTCTTCACAAAGGTCTCGTCGGTGGTGAAAGCTGTGGGATCCAGTTGGGTCACTTCAGATGTCCGAGGGTCGACAATATCGGCCGATTCCCAGAAAGATGCATTCTGGGCATGTGCAGATCTGGCGACACTTGGTGAGTCTCTTCTGTGCTTTCCTTGCGGAAGAACCGGGCAAGTGCTCTCGGCCACTCCATTTTGTTGAATTTTCGGCACGGAGACATCAGAATTCGGGAAAAGTAACCGATGGGCCTGAGAAATTTGGAGACTTTGAGAAAATGTACTGGCGGAGGTGGTTTCAATCGCCCTCCTCTTTGGACAGCTGTCCGTTATTTTCGGGCCTTCGAAGGAGGCAACTGTCCATTCTCTGGAAGCCGACTCGTCGGGCGGTTTGCACGAACTTTCACTGCCTCTCGAGCCCTTTTGGACAGCCTCGTTATGCGTCAACAGGGCGACTGAAGTCGAAAGTGGCACACTCGAGTGATGCCGCAGCAGACATTGGTCAGATGAGCTTGGTTCGCGATGTCCTCCTGGAAAAGAAGCTTCCGGTATAATGTTCAAACTATCGTCCGGAGGGTCGACACTTGAAGTGATTATGTTTGAAGGGCGCGTGTCTGGGGTGACAGGAGAAAAAATGAAAGACACAAGAGTAACAGTGGCTTTATTTAAGATGGTGTGTACAACAAAATGTTGAAAATAAGAGGAGACGTTAAATATGGAGCTGTACTTAAAAAACGCACCAAATACACTGAGGAGAGTGTGTATACACAGTGCTGACTAAAACTGGGGCTCGAAAAGGAGGCTCTACTGAAACTTGGCTGTCCATTGGGGCTAACCGATAGACTGCTTCCTCTCAAGCGACGAATCCCATCGAAACACAGTCATATACAAAGGGTCGAAGTTGAGATAACTTTGTTTAATATTGAGCATGAGTAGAGAACACGATGCCAATCCAGTTCAATGTAAAGGTGATTGCATTGAAAGTAAGTTCCATCATTAATTGCAATGACAACTAAATGATTGCTCTATCGATAGTGTGATTTAAGAGTCAGTGAAACTCGTGGTTGTGAAGTGGATGCTGACGACTCGGCTTCGAATGGCGTTGAGGATGCTGATGAGACCAGTTTAGGTGATGTCGAAGATGCAATCTTGTCGGAAGAAGAGAGTCTTTTTGGAAGGGTAAATTAATGGTATTGTCAGGTCTACCCAACTTAGCTTTCATTCATTAACTCTCATTAAGCGACATAGGCTGACTAAGACCTTATTCAAGAATTACTGATAGCTTCGAAATGAACCCATACTTAGGTCGTATGATGAAGTCGATGAAGGACCTACAGCTGAAGATTCCCATGATGATATGAGTAGGCCTGACGACGCCATTGCATTTCACTAAGGCTGGTCTCCAAAGAGGCCATCTTGTCTAGGATGTAATGCAGTTTCGGCTTCGTCTGGGCATTTTCAGCAGCCCCAGCGGGAGTCGATACTGATTTTACCACATTAGGACACAGCCACGACTGCCAAACGCAACATTCAAGGTAGGTCAAGCCTTTCAAAACGCACATTTTATAGTGGGGTTTTTGACTAGGCAAACATGTGTTTGCAATTGCAACAGACGATGTTACTTAAATTCCGTATGATTAGCTTTCGAGACTATTAGTCCTGAAATCCCTTTAGCGATTTAAGCTCATTAAAAGCTCATTCAAGAATGACAGATAATCTCAAAGGCTAATCATATGGTGTTTGGTTGCAGTCTCTTTGAGCTGTAAAGTGTTGGTTCAATCTCGTTTTGCAACTTGATCGGAGCAACAGGCAGACCTTGTGGAGCGTAGCAGGTCATACGTCCTCTGTCAGAGTATTCAAGATTGTATTCACCCGATTTCGTTGAAAGTGATGAAAGACTGGTAGAAGAAGAATTTTCCCACAACGTAGCATAGATGCCTTCTATCGGTCAGCTCATCAGAGATACAGATCCATTTATCCCTTTAACCAGGCTAGAGTGATTATTACGTTTATAAGTTTAACGATAAAAGGCTTTTTCGAATAAGGTATTGTTTTCGTGACTACCAGTAAACCAGTAATATGATATGTATTCAACAAATTTTGCTTAAGGTGATGAAGGACTGGTAGAGAAGGAATTTTCCCCCCAATCATATGAGTAGAGCTGACGTTTTCATTTAATTTTACAGAGCCTTGCTTTGCCAAAAGTTGTTCTCATCCACACTGGACTGCAGTTTCGACCTCGCATCGGTCTTATCAACAGCCTCAAAGGGAGTCGATAATTCTTCTACCAGTCCTTGATCACCTTAAACGAAATTGGTTGAATACATTTCATATTACCGATTTACTGGTAGTCACGACAACAATACCTTATTCGAAAAATAAAGTATAGTAGTCGATTTTTATAGCAAAATATACGTTTGCTTCATCGACAATTCCACCAAAAGAATATGATATGGCGAAAAGGTCTGGACTTCCTTGAAAATTCACATTTGCGGTTCGACTCCCGCTGAGGGTGTTGATAAGACCGATGCGAGGTCGAAACTGCAGTCCACTTGAGCTGGGATGAGAAAAACTTTTGGGAAAGCAAGGCTATGTGAAAATTTAATGGAAACGTCAGCTTAACTCATATCATTGTGGCAAAATTCTTCATCTACCATTCCTTCGTCACCTTAAACGAAATTGGGTGAATACATCTCATATTACTGATTTATTGGTAGTCACGAAAACAATACTTAATTCGAAAAATATTCAAGATAGATTCCAGCATCGGATCGCTGACTTGGTACACTTTCATGCGTTTCACCGACATCGTAGTCGGCATCCTCATTGGGAGGTGCCATTCTTAGCGGAGAGTTAAAACTTCCAAAAGTAACAAGTAAAAACACAAAATTCTGACCAATTTCCTGTTTGACCATTGTGGCATCTCTCCTCCGTTGCCCTAGTTTCTAGCCTCGCCTCTACATCTCTTAGCACCACTTTACATGGTTCATTTATTCATTAACACCATTTCTTGTCTTCGTTTACTTCAATCAAGCCTAAGAGCGGATTTGATGAAGCTTAATCACCTTCACCATCAGTTTCAGATGCCACATGCAAGGTCCCTCACTTTCAGTTAGCGAATCTCCACCCTTCCGGTCAGTTGTTTCCTACCACACATGAAAATCACTGCCTTTCTGGTTGCCTATATTTCTCCGATTTAGGTCCCTGTTTACTTCGTATTCATGAATATTAGGAAACGATGATTCTTATGCCTAGGCCTCTTTTTCTCGCTAGACTTCAGACCCATTTCCACCCGATTATCCCTCATTTTATGTGATTCCACGTCTGGCTTCAATTGGAACCACTGATGTGAAGATGGACAGATTCAATTCCCCACTTCAAAATCACGTAAAACACACAACTATCCGAAGTTATGAAGACCAAGATGTATAGGAGTGGGTTGACCTTGTTTTCGCTACTTGCACTTGTTGTCAGGGCGACTTAGTTAAACGCACCTTGTCCGAGGTCCTCTGCTATAGTATTTATCATAATTCCCTGCGAAAATGTACCAAGTCCACGGTCCAACGCATGGAATAATAACTAGTATAGCAGAGGACTTCGGAAAAGGTGCGTCCAACTAAGTCGATCATACAAGACCAAGTTGCTAAAACAAGGTCAACCCATTTCAGCACAACTATTGCCTCTCAATTTGACAGTCCCATCTAGTCCTAAGGTTCAGGTCAGTTGTGCAGATATGCATAGATGCATACCTTTCTGTTTGATATTCGTCCCAAGTAGGTTTAGAGCCTGGAACTGGTTACTAGAGCTCTTTTTGCTGTTTAAGATTGCTTTGATTAAGCGTAATTTGATTGTCCAACTTTTTCCGGCAGACATGAGTAAATAATAATAAGAAGCTGGTTTCGATGATTCTCTTGACATAAAAATGTAGCGGAGACCTACATTTTGTATGAAAATGCATGATGAAGAAATTCGTAGGTCGAGCTCAATAGGCCTTCATGATCAGGGACTGACGTTAGGCTCTCCTCTAATTATTCTCATTAATACACACGCATGCACACACGTTAACATACACGCATAGGCCCAAAAACACGCACATAGACAAATGAGCACACTCAAGTATGAAATGTAATCAGCCAATTTTTTTGAGTTGATGACAGACGGATAGTTGAATTTTTCCAAAATAAAATGAGTAAGTCTTACGTTTCCACAAAATTTTGCATATTCTTAATTTCCAAAAGGTATTCTCCTCCAGGCAGGAGTAGACTGGAGTTTTGACCTCGCCTGAACTGTTCCACAATCAGCAGTTCTAGAGGGACTCGAACCCGAGGTGTGATAGTGTAGCGTATAATCTAGACACGTTAACCACTTGACCACACTGCCACGAGTGCCTCTGGTTCGTGAACCGCTGGGGCTGCTGATGAGACCAGTTAAGGCGAGGTCGAAACCGGACTGCACTCCTTCCTGGATGGGGATACA